CCGGTGCTGCGGAGCTAGCGTGCGTGTTTATCAAACTGGCGTAATAAAACACGCTCCTTTTATTATTCTGCCCCTACCTGGATGGGGTCTGGGTGCGCGCCGGGCCACTGGAGAAGTACGACCCGTCGTGCTGTAAATTGTTTGATCATCTGTTAAACTGCTGCTCGATGGGGTAACATTTTAGCTGAGAAATCCCTGCGGCGTAAACAATCTCGACGGCCATGTTTCCCATCGTATCCCGTCCAGTGACGGCTGGAAATATGAAATTCAAGCCGTTGGTCATTTCTCGTTGTCATTAAAGAGGCTGGCTGAGAGGGGATAAGACTCATACTACATCTGGGAGCGGCCTGTCAGAGTCGATATGTAACCGTTGAACGTAAACCTTACGGCTTTGCCTCGGTTCTCAAAGATGGACTGACTGCAAAATGGATCTTAATCTCTGCTTTTTAACGCCGCCTTTTGTCATTCGGTCACCCAGGAAATGGATGAAATGGTAAATCGAAAACATCGGGACTCTGACGACACATCAGGTGAGGCGTAGTCTGTCAGGAAGAGGAACAGACTGGGGCCGATGGAGAGAGAAGATGAAAGTGGCAAAATGGATCGATCCTGCCTTTGAATTGATGGCTTTTCCCAGACTGTTAGATCAGACACACGCCTCTGGTGACAGGTGTGCCAACACAGATGAGTCTTTGTGCCATGCTGCCATCGCAGTGTTATCTGGAGGATTGAGGGAGAACTGGGCATGATGGGTAAGCTGTGACGGGGACCCCCCCCCCCGGGGTTTCTGCACTGCAGCCCGGCCACTGGTCTGCTTATCAAATCATCCTCTGATCCCTTCTGCTTCTAAATTCATTTGTCTTTCATTTAGCCCTTTTCAGATATGATATTACTCCTGGGGGTATAGTCCAGCCATCTATCTTCCAGCTGCTCATGCAGGACAGGGTCACGGTGAGTCTGGGACATCACCAGTCCTTCACAGGGCACGAGGCAGGGGACGCCCTGGATGGGATGCCAGTCCATCACATGGCATGAGGCAGGGGACGCCCTGGATGGGATGCCAGTGAATCACATGGCATGAGGGAGGGACACCCTCAAAGCGGACACACACATATTAAAAGACACTAATTCACCCCAAAGCATATTTTTGGACTGCAGAAGAACCCTGAGATAGCTGGAGGAGCATGGAGATCATGCAAACCCCCCACACAGCGCGTGGGATTCAAACCCTAACCCTGGACTTTGGGTGACAGTGTAATTTCTGTCTATTAAGTCTGTTGCAGGCAGGTTGTTTGTCATCATTATTTTCTAAAAGAGCACAAAGGCAATCCTGATCCTTTGCCGGGAATTGGCTTATGGAGCAACTGTCCTGCACGTCCCGCAGACGCCCGCCACCACCCACGCCAGGGCCACACACTGCCAGCTATCGCCTGCCTTGGCCAACCGCCCTGTGCCCATGGAGGCGGGAGCTGCGCTTCTGCTCTGATACATGACACTGCAGTACTGCGTCGCAGACTGTGACACCTGCAGAGGTGCATTATGGAACAGTCCGTGCTTTACGGGGCTTTCTGCTTATTAATGCGTAGTCTGCATTAATGCTCTGTGCTTGATTCACACATGTCACATGGAGTGAGTTGCTGAGGATTGTGGGAAATAGTTTCTACTCTATCACACCAGGACCCTGCAGTGCAGTCCTACGAATCCCCCTGTGGGGCTCGTCTCCCACTGCCCTGCCCCCCTCTTCAGAAGCACTGCCTTCAGGCACCCTGTTGTGTTTATTTGCTCTGTGCTCAGCACAGTGCTAATATACTAAGGTGTATAGGCAGGCAGCATGTAATATCCCCCCCCCCCCCCCAGCTCAGTCCCACACTCAGTCTTCCCTCCCCCTGCTTTGCAGAAACCTTTGCATCTGGCATTGAGTCTGGGTTAATCACTGTTTTCCTTCGACTCTGGTGCAGTGCACATTTAGAGCCAGTCCAACCCTTTTTGGGGCCTTAAGCAAAATTTGAATTGGGGCCCGTTTCTCTGAGACACACACAGACACACACACACACACACACCACAGGCTGATCAGATAGGGTGGCTCCTGGTGGTCATTGGGCCCTAAGCAGCTGTTTAATTAGTGTGCATAAATACAGTATGTGTGTGTGTGTGTCTGTGCGTATGTGTATGTGTATGTATATGTGTGTGGGTGTGTATATGTGTCTGTGTATGTGTGTGGGTGTATGTATGTGTGTGTATGTATGTGTGTGTGTGTGTGTGTGTGTGTGTATGTGGGTGTATATGTGTCCTTGTGGGGCTGAAATGGCCCCCGTCCAGCTTCCCAGTCCTTCTCAGCATGGATGCCATTGCTTTGCCTCCTCCCTTCACCTCGATGCTTCAGCTTCATTTGTATACTCTGGTTGTTTGCAGTCGTTTGCTTTGCCAGCGTGACTGAGTGGTTTAGGTGCGACGCGCAGACAGACTGCGGCGGATTCCTCCGTGAGCGCATGCTGGAAATGTAAACGCACACCTTGCTGAGCGATTCCAACAGTCACGTAATCAGCTTTCCTCACTAATCTCAACTTACAGGTCCAACCAGCCACATCAAAAATTAAATAAGAGCAAATGTTATTAAAATATTAATCCCATCCATATATATATATATATTCCTTTTAAAGCAGGAGATTTGTACAGGGTGAATCAATTCAGCTTTTAATAAGTGTGTCCTGTCGTCTCAAGAAGTGCAGAAAACAGCAAGTCTGCAGTGAGAAATGAGACCTTTGAGACTGAAGACCGATGCATGTCTGAATAAAGGAGAGCGAAGTCCCTCTTGGTCCTATTGTAACATTTTATGTCGTATGTTTAGCTGTGATACATACTTATGTTTTTACACCTTGTAAACATGCAGTCCTCCTCCTTCATCTGTACCTAGTCCTTTAACGCATCATCCAGGGGGCGCTCTGGTACAGCTGCCTGGCTGCTAATAGAAGGGCAGAAGAGCTGAACTGGACCCTAGCGGTGAGTGTTCATCTGTTTTGAAGAGTGATAAAGAGCCATGCGGGTTGACGAGGACCTCTACCGGAAAAGAGATGCTCCACCTTGCGCGTCTCCGCCCCCGCCGGGCTGTATAATTCACCGGCCCGCCCGCTCCTCCCTGCGCGTCTCCGCCCCCGCCGGGCTGTATAATTCACCGGCCCGCCCGCTCCTCCCTGCGCGTCTCCGCCCCCGCCGGGCT